GAACGCTGTGACATTTTTATCAGGGCATGATGTATAGTGACTTGTATCCTGGCTTTTCAGAACCAAATGGTGTGTCTTTTCACACCTGTTCATTCTCCCGCCCACCTTCAAAGAATTCAAGGTCCAGAGGTAGTGTCAAGGGTGAATAGTTCAGTCTGCAAACGTTTGGGTTTGTGCCATTGGAATTAAACGTGGTGTTGGAAACGCTCACAGAAATTCTGGAAAGGGTTGTTGCCAGGCAGATTGGAGGTGGTTCGACTGAGTGCGGGCAGCTCGGGAAACACTCGCCACAAACTGGTTTTGGTGACCACTATAAAATAGAGTATATTAACATTTCACAAAATGTGGTTTTCCACCACGGTTTCACAAATGTGGTTTTCCACCAAGCTTTTGGTGACCACTATAAAATAGAGTATTTGAACATTTCACAAAATGTGGTTTTCCACCAATTGCAATGTGCACATTGAGTGTTGGTTATACACACATATCATACTGTACAGTACACCCGATTAATGACAGCTGATTAAATCACTTTAAATATGCCAAATCCCATGAGACATTGGAAGCTAAGCAAGGTTAAGCATGGGTCGTGTTTGGGCGGGTGACTGCCATGCGCAAAAGACAGGTGTTGTGGGAAGTAGAGGGCAAGGCATCTACTTATTCTGTACTTTACCCACCTTCGCCAACCCCCCATTGGCCATCGTGGTGAAGTATGGTCAATTAACCCTCGTGACCTGGACAGCATGAGTAGGCCCTCATCCATCAGCGGTTTGACAAAAAAAAACGGTGTGTACATGCTCTTGATGAATGATTGCAAGCGCATAAAGGAAGTATACTGTGACAAAAAATGGTAGTGCTTGCGCCAGGTCCACCACCTGGCCGTACACCACCAGCCACTCTTGGCTTGCACATTCAGGGCAAGTTTGAGATCAAAGAGAGGTGATGCGTCTGTGTGTGCTTGGCTCACTGCAGCCCCCCCGGGGCACGAGCTGATTCAACGTGAATGGACCTGAAGAGGAAATAACCGCGAGAAAATAGACTTCGTTATTTTTTTTACTTTTTAAACAGATTGCACAATTACAATACCCTCCTATTTTATGGGTCGTAAGTTAATTTTACTGTATTGAGCTTTTATGACCTGTTACGCTTAAAGTGACTTCATCATACTCCACGTGGCATCCTTTTTCTCGATCATGCGAGGGCAAGACAGCATAAATTATGGCAGTTGTACAAAGGGGCTATTCAGTTTCGTCTGCAATGTCAAACAGGGATTTGTTCCACCACACCATTGTTATGTCATGGACTAGGTCTGGCCAAGGGGTTTAATGCACGCCTGTCAAAATATAACTTAAATGTCATTCCTTCCGTGTTTTCAATGGTAGTTTAATAATACTGTATGGCCATAGTCCATCCAGTCCTTAGTCATTCCTTTTTTCCTATTCACGTTCATGGGAAGATTGTTTTTAGCTGTGTGATAAATGCTGCCTAAGTCATGTGTTGGACACTTTGTTGTAAATTGTCAAATTGTTTATTTTTGTTCGTGTATACGTCTGACGAGCATTAGGTTCCTGTAACGGCACAATTGATCATTTTCAATTTTTCATTACGGTTCTTTATTTTAAGACCATAACAAAATAATTGAATGCCTGTATAACCTGCTAAAATAAGCATCTCCCTTCTCTTGAATGTTTTCATAGGATTTATATTGTTTTTTACTTTGGTAACTGTGGATTGTATTGCCTTTCTTTAAACTTAAGAGCATTTGGTTAACGTTTGCGTGTAGTTTATGTTAATACCTGGTTCTAAACAAAGTCAATACTTACATGTTTACACAATTTCTGTAATTCTGTGGCAATATAGTAATTTCGAATACGTCTCATAACATTCTTGTTTGGATTCGGGTAAAGTAACATCAACTTGATATACAGTATTTGAATGTTATATATATAAGACAATGTGGATGTTCTCAGTCATGAATCTTAGTCCATAGAATTTAAACTGTTTCTTATTCTTCTTATTCTAAATGGCTTGACGACAATGGGGCTAAAGCTTCTCAGCTACAGGATTCTGCACACTGTGGAAACATTGTCCTGGCAAGTATCAGTAACAGAGGAGAGTTGAGAGGTGAAGCAATGTGCCTCACCAATAAGTCCTCTGGTTTGAGACACACTAAAGAATTGTTACGTTGAGACTTTGATTCCTGTTCAGCCATAGGGTTTTAGCATAGACTCCAGTTTTATGCACAGTGTTTCCAAGTGGCATTTTGTCACTTATTGTGAGCAGAGTCCCCACATTATTTGTTGGCGTGAACGCATCACTGACATGTGCGGACATTATGTACAGTATTTTGTGATAAGAGGGCATTGCATGTTAGGGGCTTTTAGTGAAGGGACCATAGGTATGTTTGTGATGGCCACAGCTGCCAATGTCTTGTAGAAAACAGTGTTTATTATGCGACAAGGGGATTTGGTTCGTGGAATTTGTTACTTTTTTGGAAAGAAAAAAAGTAGCAAGGATGGACTGAATTGTTTTACGCTTGTCCGTCTGCCAGAAAAACAACACAGAAATGTTTTTGAACCTTTCGTGAACGTGGCTTTTTTTCACAAACATATGAAGTTATCAGATTTTAAACTTAAAACGAACAAAATCTTCTAAAAACTGGAAATAATTTCAGGATTTGATGAAAACAGCCAAAAACCTTTCGTTGTACTTTATATTCATTTTTTAAGAAATGTATAATTCTTTGGAAATGTATTTATTTTCTGGCTTGTCATGTAAGATTCCTTTTTCCTGGTTTAATTTGATGTTTGTAATACAGAACTGTTGAACACGTTTTCTCTTTTCAAAAGTGATTTTATTGTTAAAGTGATGTATGAATGAATTGCCACGGTTCATTGTTGACATTTTAACTGGTCTAAGTTGAATCAGGCGTCGTTATCGGAAACAGTTCTCAATCATTTTACCATTGGGTGTGGGAACTCCAATAAAGCTATCCGATTAGGGCATGTGGCATTGCGGCTTTCACTGACTTTGGCCAAACCTGACAACGGAAACTTTGTTTTTCCTAACCATTGTGAGGTCGAGGTCTACAAATAGTGTTCTAAAGTATGTTTCAGTGCCAATGTATCTAATGAACGTATTTAATATATAGAGCGGTGAAATAAATAATTGTGCCAATCAGCAGGTGGTGGGATAAAGTGGTGGGTACTCCTACCTCTTCGAAGATGACAGGCCAGTATTAAAGAGCGGGCAAAAAACACCCTCTAGATGGGCTCTGGAGCTCCCTCGCAGAGCCTCTTCCTCCGGCAGTGATGTTAAGGAGTAATTGCTGGCGCTGCACATTATACCTTCTCACCTGTTATGCAGTATTAAAGTGTGAACATTGTATCCTAATTATAAATTTCACACTAGCACTTTTGCTGTTGCTTCCATACCAAAAAGAAAATATATGCTCTTTTTTCAGACCCACTGCACATTCCTCCCTTTTCAGTGAGCGTGTTTCCGTTTGACAGAAAATGCAGACATGGCAAGCACAGGAGACATTTTAACGGGTTTTAAAATAAACTGCTTCGAATGTTTTTTTGCGAGTTGCATGGTGCATACATTTCGCTTCGCGGGCTGGCTTTTAAGCACCCACAGTTGCATGACGGAAAGCAAATATCCCAATGAACAGATTTCAGAGACAAAATTAACCAAATGAAAGTACGTTGATTATGCAGACGTTTAAATAAATCGTCAATAATATACGGTCATATAATTAGAACAATTTTGGGGGTAATTAAACTGAAGTTTCTATTTCATTACTGTATCTGAATAGAATTAGTACTGGATATGATTGCTTTAGATGTATTATATGTAATACAACATTCTCGTAAGAAAGCAATTCATAGAAATGTGCTTTAATAGTTGCCATGCAGTGACAGAGTCAAACTGTTTGCCATATGTAGTTGCTCGTTTCAAATCATATTAAGTACTAATATTACCTTTTATTTCCATAAAATAATTAACATATTGGTGATAGGTACGATTGTGGAGGCCCTTCCAACAACAGCGGCATTAGCAACCCATTGCAGGGTTGGACCTTTTGTAAATAAATTGCCTTGTGATGTAGCAATATCTGTAAACTATACTGACGTGGATTGTTCTTATCTGGAGAATTCGATGGGCATTGTTGAATATAGTGTATATGCCTGCATTGTATTCCCTTAAATGTATGGCCTTCTGTAGGAGCAGACCTGCAATGTAGACGTAGAGTTGTTCCCTAGTTCGTAGTTTGGCTTTGCTAATGTGTTGACACAAAATTGGCCGGACATTGTACGAACTTTGTAAAGGTTTTGAAATGCTCATTCATTTCGACAATGTAATACAGATGGTAATAAAGGCTGCTGTAAGTGGTTGGTGCGATTATATAAAGTAAAACAATTATAATTGGAATGGAAAATGAATGAATAAACAAATTCATGACAAACATTGTACAGATTTATGTGAACAGGGCATGTAGTCAGGTGTCAGCGTGCCCTTGTCGTGTTTTATGAATCTAAAGCACCAGAGTGGGGAGCGATATAAGCCAAGGTTTCTTGGTTTGTGTATTGGCCGCGAAGTGTACTGGCACGGTTTCAGCACTTGTGCGATATTTCACAGAAAATCCATAACTCTTGTTGGCATTACCATAGCTGAACACTGACGCATACAGCATTGTTATGTTGGAACCTCTTTATCTTTTTCTAAGGATTGTTTATATAATGATTTTATTCTTCTTCTCATGTCAGACACTGTGAACATAACATGACTGAAAATCCTGATTATATTGCCAAATAGTTTAATCCAGTAATATATTATCTTTTTTTAGGTTTAAGATTCTGTGTCATGTTGAATATGCAAGTATAAGCAATATGTGAAGAATTTGATTGAATTTTTTATATATATATGAACACTTCGATACTCATGTTCAACTTGTAACTTTTAACTAAATCTTTGTCGTTTTCTTGTTTTGTTTTCAGAATAAGCACAAAGACGTCGCTGCGGTCATTGTGATGTTGCTGCTGCATTGATGCCACCTGGGGAAGGTGAAGGCAAGGTATAGATATGTTTGTAAAGCCCTCTGACGGTCATTTGGAATACATTGAAATGTAATTTTTTATAAACTGAAAAAATATGTAAAAATTACACTTTATGTTTATTTTTTACATTAAGTCAGAGTTTGCAAAACAAATCTCTGTTCCTCAACACAGTGCAAATTCCATCTGTAGCAATAATCAGATTCTTGAAATGTGTAATTTAGTTTATTTACTATTTTTTATTTACCAGGTAAGGCTCACTGAGCGAAAGAGTTATTTTTCAGAGGTGGCCTGGCCACAAATTATAGCTCAAAAAAGTGGATTGTCATTTGGAAACGTATAGTAGTCAAATACTCTAAATGTAATAACTACATTTGTATGAAGACTAGAGACAATTATATGAAATGGAATTTTAGAAGCTTCACCTAAAATAATTACATTTGACTGTAAAATAACGAAGTTGATAACCATTTCTACAGGATATATATCATGCTGTACGTGCCATAAAATACAATGTATGTTAAATAAATAATATTGTGCCTCGGCTTTTTTTCTTTCCCAGGAAAACTTGCCCATGACAAGTGCTGAGCTACGCCAACGTCGACAGCCAGCCTTGCTTACAAGCTGTGCTTGGGGCTTCCGCCTGACATGATGGATTCATCCGAGTGCGAGCGGCCCGTCAGTCTGAGCTCCACCACATCGTCGTCGTCGTCATCGCGTGACAGCCACTGCTCGTTCGGAAGCAACATGACTCTGGCCTCTTCTCTCTCCACCTCCCAGAATGCCGACACGGGCTCCACGACATCTTCATCGTCATCATCGTCCCGAGACAGCCGATCCATGTTTGGAAGCAGCGTGACGCTGGCATCCTCTTTGTCCGCTTCGCAGAACGTCGACTCTGGGTGTTCAGTGCAGCGACAAGGACAGTGACACGGTCAAGCTGGATCAGGTTTCTCCAAACTCCGATGCTTCTGAGCAGAATCGGCAACCCAGTGAGTGGGGTTGATGAGCACGCAGATAAGTGGAATGTTAACTTGGGCAGGAGCAATTCTCGGCGGCAGAAGGACTTTGCAACCATCTGCTCAGAATCGAGCGAGTCCCCAGTTGCAACAGACGCGATGGTCTCTGACCCGAAGCTGTCATATGTGGACCGCGTCGTGCTGGAGGTTTTACAGACGGAGCAGATGTACGTGAAGGACCTCAGGAGCATTGTAGAGGTAAGGGGGTTAAATTCTCATATTTGCAACCAATTTATCACAATTGGTAAGGTTTCTTTTCTTCCTTAAATATATAGTTTAAAAAATTTAGAAAAACTCTCCCAAGAAAATAGACATCGTAATACACAATACAAAATATATTTGCCAAGTGTATGAATTGCTAAGAACATTGCTTTCCATCTCTTTTTATGAAACCTTTAGCTTCAGTGAAACACTCTTCCTCTAGTGTCCATGTAAACAGTAAGGCTATCTCTTTGTTTCCATAACATATTTTATTAGGAGGTCATATCTCACTAAGTACGCTGTCAAATTAACTAGCGGTACAGACGGCCCTTTTTTGTTGTGCCAGTCACTGAGATCTAGCAGCTCAATGGAGCACACTCTGGATTAAGAGCTTTATAGTAAAGGTGAGGACGAGGTCAGACTGGAGACGGGAGGTTTGAGACATATGTATGCACACAGACCAGTTGCACACTAAACCTCCCAGTTGGCTCCATTGTGATCTTGCTCGGAATGGAATGATTTACACGAGAGCAGTTGAGGCAGAGGGCACTGAAGGATTAGGGGTCATGCTGAGAAGTGGCATATTTCAGCCATTACTGACTGAATTCTGTCTTGCCACAATATGAAGCTTTGGGCTTGCTTTGAAAAATTATATTTCCAGGAGATTGATGGAATTTCTATTACGAAACTAAAATATTTTACTTAAATGTTTGTAATTTTACTAAAATATGTCTAAACTGAAGTGCTCATATATATTTATATATTTTAAAATGCTTAGTGTTAATATAATGAGAAAAGGTTGTTCTTAAAATCATGGACCTTTATAATACATAGTATAAATGTTAGAAAAATAATACTGTCATTTAAAAGGCCAAAAAGATCAACATGATCATAACATCTTATGAACATTATAGTTCCTGGACATCTTTTTTTACTTGAAATGCATTCAATATTTTTTTTGAATGTTTTTACCAAGCTTTCTGCTGTCCAGTATGAAACTGTTCCAACATATATTTTTGAGAGACAAAAAAACTAAACTGATAACCCATCAAATGCAGGTGTGCTTTGTGATATTAATTCCTAGCCTTCTTGAAAAAACAGCTGTCATCACAGAGTGTGAGAAGATGTGGAAACATTACGGCAATAGTGGAGGTTTCTCCCATCACTCCGCGCTCTGGTCACGGAATGCGCACTATGTGTGCGTGTGCGCAAGCGGTTTCTGATTACGCCTCCCCCCCCGCCCCTCAAAACAGGCTCGGCGTGACCTTGAGCTTTATGTGCTGCTGTCTTTTAGCTTTAAAGAGAATTGTTTTGGATTTCCATTTCTAGAGCATGCGCTTTTGACATTTAAAAAAAGTGAGATACATTATAGCCATGGCCATTATGTTTCGGGCAGTTGATCTGCATAGCACTGATAACGCTTTGTTATCCAACTTTTATTAAGATATGAGGCTGCTTTAGCAATACATGACACTTCGAGGTGTACTGTCATAAATCCTGGCTGTTCTAGGTAGCTTCATCTCAACCGATGTGTGCGACAGGTAATGGAATATTAATTTAAGTAGTGTTTACATCTTATGCCTACCAATCGCGAGATTTGTCCTTTCAAAGCACAGGTATTCGCATATATTAAAGTGATTTTTTTTAACCCTAAATAGTTCAAAGGTGGCATGGATTTTGCTAAATGTGTCCATAGAGATGATTATTTGGCTGCTCAATGTGCACAATGTATAAATTGGTAACAGGTGGTATGTGTGTTGCATTCAGATTTGAAGAATGGGTCCTGTAGTCAGTGAAGATGACTTTTGGTACCCAGGGCATTTTGTCTTGGCATAAATTATTCCTAGCGGGATACGAGTGATGACACAGCCAATAAATCACCATGACAACCCTTGACCAATGAACTCATCCCTCACCCCTTGGAAGAGATGACCCATAAGTGCTTAATATGTACTCTCCTACAGAGTTTTCTGCATTGCAGGCTGGGTCGCAAACCCCATTGCCACAAGATATCCCGAAATAAACTAATGTCAACAGCCTATTTATTCATTCGATATTTTACACAAGGCTGCAAGAAGTCAAATATAGCAGTGGCCAGGTAACTAAGAGAGCCAATACTGTGTCGGGCAGCACTACAACAATTATGGGTTAGAATCTAGCAGCTACCGGTGATTAAAGTATAACAAGTCGATGGTCTCAAATCAGGAATAAAAAATTGCACAAAAAAGCCCTTTGATATTAAATATAATGTCACTTAATTCAGGATATTTTATCTCTTAGAAACATAAATGTTGGATTTATTGACATATGATGAACAACCTTTGCACCATATTAATAAATGTGTCTCCTGAGTATGCATAAAGAGGTTAGTTTAATAGACTACAGATGTAGTTCTGTGACATCATCTTCTGGGGACATTCTCTGGCAAAGGTTGTAACATTGCCTCCTACTTATATCGCAAGAAGAAACGGGAAAATTTAAAACTATCATTGTGACTATTATGTTGAATAACAATACCTGATTAATTGCGGGTAAAATCTAGTTGCCTATCGTGTTATTAAAATGAGCCAGGGACAAAATTAGAACGTGAAGAAAAATATAATAATTGCAACAACTTTTTGACACATGAACACCTATTTGGGAATTCATGTCAGTGTATATTAGTATAACCTTGTGAAGTAAACTGAAGTTAAGGCATGAGAGCATTCAGATGTAGCTGAGCCAATACTCCAATTTGGCAACAATCTTCGGTATATCAAGTATGGCTGTCGAAAAACGAATCTTACTCTTGAACACTCAATGGGCAGAGGGATGACAGTGCTCTTCCTGTTCCTTGAGGCTTGCAGCCATGCATTTCATAATCTGCTTTATCGCTTGACAAAGACTATTGTATACCTCTGGTGTCCAAGGCGGCACACTGTGCTCAGGTTTCCTGCCTGAAGTGATTTCACACAAAGAACACTTTCCCCAATTCAAAACTGACTTTGACCATGGCCTTGTCAAACAACTTTCCCCTTTCCCAAATATATTGATGTAATCTTTCCTGACATTTCTTTACACATTTTGGGGGAATTTATTATTTTTAAAATCCATATATCATTCATGTAAAAATACATTTTGTGAAACATGAAATCCACGATAAACCATTTTGAAAAAAATATTAAAAGGTATTATTCACAAATGAAAATCCACTGGCTCACAGGATTTTCGCCTGGCCATACAACATAGCAGAAATACCAAGTTAATACCAATATTGCGTCTGGGTGATGCTGTTGTTTGGATTATATATGATTTTTTTTCTTTGGAGGCCTTGGAAGGAATGCTTCAATAAAGGTCACACATCGTTTGCATTTCTTCAGCAACCTCAGTCAAAACATCCCCAGCGAAAACTGCATTCAATTGCGCAAACACAAGCCACGTGTCTAAATTGTACTTGTTCAGATCTCCTTCCATTAACCAACCTCTGCATGGCATGCCAGAATGTAAAGGTGTAAATCTGTCATTAAAGCAGTTTAACAACCTTGAGACTAACCAAATAGAAATGGCTTCCTCCAGAGGCCTGTCATATTATTTATTTATAATAACCATTTCACAGACTAATCCACACAGTCTAAATGAATGAATGTGTAATGATTAAGGCTACCAAACATCCCAGTTTGGCCAGGATAGTCCCAGTTATTGAAAGGCTGTCCCAATATCCCGAAGCTTTTGGTTGACAAAGGTGTAGGAAGGGCTTATGAGCAGTAGGGCAGGGCCAAGGAAGAGTGGGAGAAACCACTCACTGTGTGGAAGGGATGTGTCATTGCATGGGTGCGACTACGCAGGGAGCGATAGTGTGTGTGTAGTGGTTAGCGCGCTGCGCTCCGAGCCCGGCCGATCCGAGTTCGATTTTCCGCTCACGGCCAACACCAGTGACGATTATCAGAACCGGTCCTGGGTCCCCCCGAAGTCGATTCCGCTTCAAATGAGTACCTGGTGCGGCGTGTAAACATTGCCACTGGGGAGACAAAGGCGGCCGGGTGTGGTGCTGGCCACCCACTCCCTCGTGTGCCTTGCGAACCTCTTCATAGGTAACTCGCAGACAGCACTTGCCGCAACAGTCTGTTAAGGCTCTACGGGGATCAGGGGGGATATTGTTTTTGTTTGGCTGTGTGAAGCTGGGCTGGGCTGACAGTGAGGGGCGGGGGAGAGGTTGAGCCTCCCGAGAAAAATGGTGGGGTTAAATATGATTGGAATATTGCGACAAATAGATTGATTTACCCATAATACGGGGTTTTTTTGGGTTAGATCGCATAAATATGTACGTGTCATATTCTTGGTTCTTTCGGTAAAGTCACGTAGAAGGGAAATAATAAAATTCTGAGAATGTATATACGTGTCGTTAAACCAACCACCACTCGACACAGCCACTTGGTAAGGTTTGTCACGTAAACAGAACAAGCCAATTCGTTTCTACTACAGCACACCGGTGTGTTGGAGAGCAAAGCCACAACATTTACAATCTGAGTACGACGTTTCGCCAGTAATTACAACTAACTCCATCAGGCGACAGCCAGATTCATTCACATACAGTATTTAATTTACTTGCAATTATTTAATTGGTTTGATGTGTTGTTTCTTTGAACGTTGATAATCTAATCTATTGACATGTATGGTGATTTCTGGGAAATACCATGTCGACATCAATATGGTCAGTGTGATGGCTAACCATTAAGTAAAACACATTCCTGCGGAGGGAGCTGGTAGGAACGTTGGGTTGCTCGGTCAATGGCCAGGGTCAACAGTGGCGTGGTGTATTCCGCAAATATGGCCGACTGTGAGGGCGGGCACAAGCCGGCGTGAGTAGGTTAAACGTTGAGTTGTATAAGGGCACCAGCCCCTCCCAACCCCACCCCTCCCAACCCCACATCTTCCACCCCCCACCCAGCCCCACCCTCCCCTCTCCACCCAGCCCCACCCCTCCCATTTTTGTATGCACGACGGACGGACACAATAAT